GGTTTCCGGGTCAACCCGCTGGGTCGGCCGGGTCACGCCGGGTCATGGCTTATCTGATTTTTTCATCAACCCGGCCTGGTTCTAGCCCCGGGTCGGCCGGGTCCCGGATCAACCCACCGGGCTGGGCCGGGTTTTAAAACTATGGTTTGGCCCAAACTATCTCCGATTCTATTCAATGGTCAAAATTACTATTGCTTCACAAACTCCATGCACTGCTACACGAACCATGGATGGCAAGGACACGTTATGTCCAACACTAAAAATTGTTGAGCCAGAAATAATGAAGTCCAACAATGTCATATATGTTGAGTGACATTTTAAGCAAGACCGGACACCCTTCTCTAACATCGGAGATATTCTATTGCTAATTTTCACACAGAAATCGTCTGTTATAAGGGGTCAATGCCGCTTGTCCAAACCCAATTTTTCAACTAAACATTCTCTCCATGTCCATTTACGCTTTCCTTTCGCTTCCTTTTTTTTTTTTTTAACCACCCTCGTGTCCTTTTCCCTTTCAATGTCTAAAACTTGGAACATTCACAGCAAATCACCAAACGGAAGTTCAAGCTTTCACAAGCCAAAAACAAGAAAAAAGAAAAGAAACCAACAAAGATTTTAAAGGGAAACATGGCAGGGTCAGGTCAAGCAGCACAGCATTCAACAGAGGTGCTTCACCAACGTCGCAAATTGTCTATGTCCAATGAAAATGGCCATCGGTGGTGTTGCTCTTGTCGCCACTCTTGGCTACTTCGTTTTGTACTCGAAGAAGAAGCCTGAAGCCTCTGCATTAGATGCTGCCACAGTCACAGCTGGTGTCGCTGACCCAGCTAACACCCATCCCCGCAACTAGATTACTCTACATCTACGTACTTTAACATCTAGATCTTTTGTTATTGTTCCTTCAGTTCTTTTCCTTTTTCTTCCAAGTTGTTCTTGCTGTTTTGCTATGATTTTGTTTCTTCAATCCTTGAATGGACTCGTACAATTCAGAGAAAAAAAAAGAAAAAAGTCTGCAGCTCTACAATTATACTCCTCTTATCTTGTTTGTGAATGCACTATCTAAATTTGTGTCACGCTTTCTTTCATTTGGCAGTAGTTTCTTGTAATAACAAGGTAGTATTTCCAGATGCACTTTGTGTAAATGATCTGGTTCGACCTTTAGTATATAAAAATCAATGAATATGTTATTTGTAGCACATTAAAATTGCCCCCAAAAAAAGAGTTTTTATCCTGCTGTAAAATAATTACGGTATTTCATTTTAATTGACATACAATTTTTATTAAATGAAGAATTTACAAAGCTTAATTTTCATGTAAAAATAGTATTTATTTTCATTAAATGAATTTTCACTATACAATAAAATAAAAAAGTTTTTTTATTAATTAAAAATGGACGTTGTATATTTAAATATACACTCATTTAAAAAAAATCGAAATGTTATAATAGTACTATTTGTTTCTGGTTCCTTTTATTTAATTTAGACATCCTGGTTAAAATATAAACGTTTAATAAAATTTACATATTAGCAAGTGACTAAGTACTTTATTTCACGCTAATTTTGAGACAAAATTTTAAATTTACCTTTAAAAGTAAAACATCTCCAAATCAAGTTTCTCTCTCTCAAAGCCACGTGTAACGCCGTGTTCATCATTACAATATTCTGTCAAGTAATGCTATGAGAAAGCGATTTTTTTTTTAAAAAAATTGTTTTATGTATTAATATTAAAAATAATTTTTAAAAAATAAAAAATATTTTTAAAAATAATTATTATTGTAAATACTTTAAAAAACAAACCTTTTAAACTAAAGATTAAGAAAAAAATTTAATACTTTAAAAAACAAACTTTTTAAACTAAAGATTAAGAAAAAAATTTAGCATCGATTTCATTTTCAACATTTATGACATGTTAATGGTTTTGAAGTATTTTTTGTTTATAAATAAATTAAATTAATATTTTTTTATTTTTTAATTTATTTTTCATATTCATTCATGAAAAAAATTAAAAATGATTTTTTTAAAAAATTAAAATTTTACTTTTTACTCAAACAGGATCATAATTGGCTCAATGAGTCAATCTAGTCAATTAAAAATTAATAATTTTAAATTTAATTGAATAAAAATTAATACAAAAAAAATAAAATTGAATTTCTCAATAGATTTCTAGTTAAATCTTGGTCAAGTTATATAAATGATTTTTTTAAATAAAACAATATTATTTTAATAAAAGTAATTAATCTAATAATTCATATATTAATTTAATAATCCAAATCTTTTCCCAACTTAATCATTTGATAGGAAGTAATAAGTATAAATTTATCCGGTTCCTTTTCTTCTTTTGTTTAAAAGTGACTCGAAAATTATTTTATTTTGCCCTTGCCAGAAGCAAGCGGACTGCAGATGAGCTGCCAAAGAAGAGAGGGGCAATTCAGTAACTGAAAGAGTGCGAGACATTATTGACTCCTTCGCCTTCTGTCTTTCAGTTTGTACTCTTCTTGCTTGGGTCAATTTCCGGTGAAAAAAAAAATATCTCCGATTTCCTCTCTAAATAATCGCGCCTAATGGCAACTCTCCCTCTCTCCCTGTAAAAACTCAAGTCTCTCGCTCTCTCTCTGTCTAACTTCATTTCTACTTCATCTTTCTCCTTAATTACCTAAACCCCAAACTTTCATTTCACTGTGAGTTACTTTCTTCCTCTCTCCCTCTCTCTTGCAATTTCCTTATTTCCGAATTATCTTTTAGTTCCAAATCGATCGATCGAATTTTATAGTTTAAAAAATGAGTGCTTTACCGTTCTAATATGATTTCGTGTTTAACTTTTTTTTCCTTGTATTAGTAGATTCTCAGTGGAATTCTGTTGCATGGCTGCTGCCATTAGACTTTGATTTAGTTTCTATCTTTCGAAATTCGAGGCTTTTGTTTTTTTAAATCTGTATTTTTCTTGCTTTTTGATTGTTACTTCTCTCTTCTTTTATTTTTATTTTTTTTATCTTAGGATTCTTTCTTGTAATTCATGAATTTAGTGGTCAACGGTAGATAATTAAAATCAGTGCTGTTATTGGAGATCTGATACATCTAAAGTTACTGCTAGTATTTTTCTTTTTTGTTGTTGATTTTTTAATCAAGGTAGTGTAATTTTGATATTTGTTGCAAATTGGAATGCTTTTTAATAAATTATCTCTGCTCTTCTTCTGGGAGCTTTGCAGGTGATGTTTTTGTCTTAAGTTGGGAATGATGTTTGATTGTGGTTCGAAATCGCAATATCTAGGTGGTGGTCAGAGAGACAAGTTTGTCAGGTAAAGTTTTAATGAAATTATTGTTAGAGGTCATTGTGTTTGTTGGAATATTTTGTTTTATTTTTAAGCATTGAAGACATGGTTTTTTTCCCTTGATTCACAAAGAATTTTAAGGTAAGAAGAAAGATGATCAATAAGTCATTAGTGAGGTTTGAAATGAAAAAAAAAAGAAAAAGAAACAGAAGAAGAAGAAGCCTCCTCATAAGCATATGAAAAGACGCCTACGTGAAGAAATGGTTGTGGTAGGAATTGAAACTTTAAACATGATCACGAGTTTCAAAATTGTGGTGGGGTAGATGTAACTATTTGCATGTTTTGCTGCAGCCCTTATCCAAGGTTAAGTATTTAGCTTCTTCTGTTGATCAGTTGAACCTAATTTTCGATGCTTATGGTTTTGTTGATAACACAATAAGTGGTTGAAGACATCTCTTTCTGTAGAATTAGAATCAGTTTAGAGGGCAGGTGTTATCTATGCAACTGTAAAGTTTGTCATATAAAATCTGCTCTAACATTTTTTGTAGTTGAATTGCAATATATGTATTCTTTTTGTGGTTAATGTTTTATGTTTGGTTCAACGATGTTTTCACTACTCTTGGCTTGTGGGAGGATTTTAGGATATTGAAATAAGTTAATAATATGCAACTTAGGATCTTATGTTTTATGTGATCAGAAAATGTGGCCAATATCAGTATCTACTAGTCTAATACTATTCTATAGTTTATGCTGGTAAAGTATCATAAAAAAAAACTTCTGCTATGTGGAGGCTGCTGTGAGAATGATGTTTTCTCATTTTGAAATCTTATCCTGTAAGAAAGGTGCTTATGAACAATTCTGTTGTCATACCCAGCCAAAACAATTTGCTTTATATAATTATCATCTGCCCATTGTATGGTTATGTGATGCACTGATGTAGCTTTATGTACCTGTTCTCTCAGTTTATGTAATCATTCTCCAATGTTGACTGGTTATGTGGATAGTATATGAGATGTTCAGAATCGAACACTTGATTTATTAAAGTTCTAGTACATGGGATGTTCAAAATCTGTACTTAAATTATTTAATTTTTGAATCCAATGTTTGACTGCATTATTCACCCAGTTGGAGGTTCCTTAATAGATTCAAAGGCTTATTTTGCTAATTATATTAGGATTTCCTTCTTACCATTTTGAGAACCTTACCTTTTCCTGCTTCTAGGGGTTCTGTAGTATGAATTATTTTTCCTTGAGCATCTGACTTTTTTGGTTTTGTCATATTACTGTATCTTAGATTGGATGACTTGGATTCTAGGCTATCATCGCCTTCCAGTGCAGGAGTGAGAAATTGTGGGTTTGGTATTGAAGGATTTAGACGTACTGGTCAAGGAACAGATACACCATCGAGATCTTTCAAGAAAGGAATCAGAAAAGGGTCCGAGGGACTGAAGTCTATTGGTCGGTCACTTAGATTTGGGGTCTCACGGGGAGTGTTTCCAGAAGATCTTAAAGTGTCAGAAAAGAAGATTTTTGATCCTCAAGATAAATTCCTCCAGTTCTGCAACAAACTGTTTCTCATATCATGTATTCTGGCGGTTTCTGTGGACCCTCTATTTTTTTATCTTCCAGTTTTTAGTGATTCAGATAACTGTCTTGGAATAGATCGCAAATTAGCAACTATAGCAACAACTTTGCGAACAATTGTTGATGCTTTCTATCTTATACGCATGGCTCTCCAGTTCCGAACAGCTTACATTGCACCGTCTTCTCGGGTATTTGGGCGAGGTGAACTTGTTATAGATCCCACACAAATAGCCAAGCGGTACATGCAGAGATATTTCATCATTGATTTGCTTTCTGTCCTTCCCCTACCACAGGTATAGAAACTGTGGCACCCTCAGTATGTATGCTGATTTGCTTTTGCAAAAAAACTTATATCTCCCTCCTGATCTGATCCTTTTGGACCTTAATTCATGCTTTCTGTTGCCTTTTTTATTCCCATTTTACCCTTGAATTCCCCCCTCTGCCGTTTAGACTTGTATATTATACCTGAGCAAGATGCTGGTTTTCTTCATTTCCATGACAGCTACATCAATTGCATCACTGAAATTTTATCAATTCCTCTTTCTCATTCGGTTATTATACGTGCTGTGTGATGGTTGACTAATTTTCACTATATATTTTCAGGATCATATCTTTTTCTTATACACTATACTCTTCTGTATACTGTACCACTGGAAATGTGAATTACAGAGAAGTAGAAATTGTTTTTTAAATAGTAAAATGCTAATTAAATCAAAAGTCCTAATCTAAATAGATAAAAGAATCTGAATACAACAAGGTAAATAAAGATAATCTCGCACAGTAACTTCCGAGTCTTATTTGAAAGTCTTCCCAATCTCTGATCATCATGAAATTTTAACCTAGTAGGAAACATGGCCTTCTGAATCGTCTGTCAAAATTACAGCTCGATCTGACAAATGGATTAAAAATTATGCTTGATTTACAAAGCTCTCTTGGACTTTTTAAATTTCTCAAAACCTAAAAATCTTAACCATTAATGAAATATTTCAATAAACATTATTATGCCAAGAACATGAAAGAAATTTCCCCGCATCACAGGGACTTTATAAGTTATGGTGTTCCTTTGGTGTTCATTTTTATAAGTAGAATGCTTTCGTGTTGTTACCTTGAGAACTTTTGTAACTAATAATGGAAGAGGATTGCAATTTTAGTCTGCTGAATTCATCATACTGTAGTTGCA